AATCAAGCTGCTAACGCAGGAAAACGAGAAGGAGAGAGGAGGTCAAAGCAAAGCATGGGAAAGCACATGGGAAATCTGAGAGTTAAAAAAAAAAATAAAACAGACTGTAACTGCTTAGTAAACATAATTTTTTCTCACCCTGGGAGAACCCTGCTTTTCTGAATGCATCCTACATCATAATGGCACATGGAACAAATTAACTTGCAGCCATGACCTACATTAGGATTAGAAAAAGACTGTTTTAGCTAAAACAAAGTTGTGAGCTGATGTTGTCAAAATACTGAGCTGTTGTTTTCTTACAGCCTTTAGGATGATCCCCTGCAGCAAAAGGCTTCAATGTATTCAACAGCAAAGCATGTCTGCTAATAGCTATCAAGCGTTTAAGTCCTCAAATCCCTGGGAAGCATGGCTATCCCTCAGTCATTAGGCTCATTTGATCTAATAGCACAAGCATAAACAAGAGCAAAAACAGGGAACTGAGGGAGTAGAAACAACATTTCCCAGAAACATCCAGTAGGTGTGAAGTATCCGGAGTCCCCAGCATAACCACATCAAACTAGTGAGATATATAAGTACTTGGCACATCCGTGCTGGTTTTGAAATTGCTTTAGCCCTTTTGGAGTATATCCAAAGTAGGAAAAAGCCAGTACAATCTCCTTTTCTGCAGAAAAGGCAAAGCAGTATTTGTTTGTTCAAGTGGCTGACACACACAAACGAGCAATGCACACAGAACTTACTGACAGAATGGCTGGATCCTATTTTTGAAGCCATATTTTTCACAACCTAAAGATGCAAACCTAAGAAGGTAGAGATGGGTCTTGAGTTCCCTCTGGGTTTACTTTTGGTGCATTTTCAGCAGCCTGGCTCCTGCGTTCACTCACATTACCCATGTTGCAAATTCATCCTATACCCTGTGTGTGGAAACCAGCCTCTTGTGAAAAGATTTGCAGCACTCTCCCATAACAAAAAGCTCCACTGTGCTCTGCTTGTCACTCTGAGGCTCGTGAAGTGGATATACTAACCCATGAGCAAACAACCTTTGCCAATGAACTTAAATACCCAGTTGCAATTAGGAGGCTGTGACTGATGATGCATAACACAGAAAATATGACAAGACTGAGAAGACTGAAGGAGTGCCACAAAATGTCATCAGGCATTATCAACTGCCCTTGGGCCTGGAGCTTTCCTGGGGAAGCCTGCCAAGGAGGCAAGTGAGTACAATGACTGTGACTCAATGGCAAGTAGTCTCAGACAGTGTAAGAGGCTCAGAGCTGTCACATACAAATCTCCAAAGACTGGTGAAAACAGCTAGTGAAAGCAAGTGAAGCAGCAGGGAGAGAACTCAGGAGGCAAATGTTAGAGCATCACCGAACCATATGCAACCCTACAAAGATAATGGCCCTAAGTTACCTCTCACTTGCGTTGGTTCATTAAGAATTTGATAAAGCTGTACTGGTGCCACTGAAAGCCTATTCAGAGAGCTGAGCGGACTCTAGGCCCTAGGACTGGAAAATACATTAGATCATGAAGTACACTATTACATATTTTATAAGGGAACAGCTATCAATATTTGCTCCACCCAGAGAACATACAAAAAACAGCTGGAAATAAGAACAGCTGTGTACATCCCAGCCACTCTTTAGCTGTAGCTTCTTCCAGCTACTCCTGAGCTAATGTTAGACATTTCTATGGCTCCCTATATGTAGAAGGAATCTTTAAACACTGAGAAAACAATTAGGTTCAGTGACATATGAGTAAAATAACCGTAGCATAAATAAGACATACTTGACGTTATTGTTAATTATTTAAACTAACCTCTGGGTATGCAAATGTGGATGATGAGAGATGTGTTTGCAGGCATCTCTGGTAAGTGCTTCTTACACCAATTTTCAACCAAGATTTTGGTATTTGCTAGCCAGATTTAAAACTAGTCTATGAATACACTGCAAATGAGAGCATCTGTTGCTTATACATAAGGTTTTTCTATAAAGGCCTTCCAAGAACAATGGTCAGCAGTGATATATATGGCTGGAGGTGTTGCTAATGGGACTGCTACTTATTCCTGAAACAGAATCTTTCAGACCTGTACCAAATGACCTGCCTCTTGGGCAAAATACTTCACTCTTACTCACAGAACTGATTTTGATCACACGGTGTGTGCAAGATCCATTCGCAAGTTTAACATAATGTCATCTACACTTACAAGAGGGAAAAAGAGATGTATTAATCTGCAGATAGATGGATTCTGTGTCTGGAAGTTGGACCCCGATGGTGTTCTTTCACCATGAGATTTTCCTTCTCCTTTAGCCATATAAACTAGAGTATGTGTTGCATTAAACTGGCTGCTTGATCACTGAATCTGAATATCCAACAATCGAGAAAGACATTTTATGGCATATAACCCTGACTCCCTGGGAATAACAGACAGGTATTTAATTAATAGGAACTTGTCTTTTTTTTCTCCTAAAGATAAATGATAAGAAATACAGAGTGCTGTATTTTGCAGAGCACCCTAGTGAAAGAAAATGTATCTGAGTAGAAAACTTGGCCAGAGTTTTCCATAACACACCAAATTAAACATGAGTTCCATTTGGAAGACTTTGAGTGTGCCTAAGGCTGTTTTTAGTACTGCTCATATGGAAACGTCACACCATGCATGTCTCCATTGTAACCCACACAAAACTGATATTGCTCCCCAGGAATGCAGTCTCATGGCCTGTGCTGGTGAAGTAATGTGTGTCACTCTTCATGGATAATTGGGAGATTCCTGAAGTTTTAGCTCTCTCAAGTAATGCTAGCCTGAAGTTGCATATAGGACAGATTCAAGTAATTCACTGTCTCTTTCACTGCAACAGAGCTACAGAAATCTATTCACAAGAGATGACTTTTGGAGTCTAGTGTTTCTAATGCATACACACATCACGTATCTGTCCTGAAGTCTTATGTGAAATCTTTCTACCATCTGATATTATCCATATGATAAGAAATAGAATTTGTTCAATCATAACAGAAAAGCCCGAAGCTTATAATATCTGCCAATTTAATGTAAAAGTTGCCATGACAGAGGAATTTCTGGGTGTCACAATGCTGTGATGGCAGCTCCCCTTCCCAACACTTAATAGGAAAGCTATTGCCAATGAAGAGGAAGGGCACAGAGAATACCAGTGATGTTAAGTGTCTGGGCCACAAAGACCTAGCCCGTTGAAATTAGTTTTTAATAAATACGCTAAAACAAAGGAAATTCCTGAACACTGGACAACAGCAAATGTGGTGCCAAAAGTAAAAAATGGAGCTGAAGTGTGAGCCAGCTGGCCAGCAACAATGGGAGGTGAGGCAAGGCAATGAAAAACTGATAAAAAAAGATAATTAATTGAAATAATAAAGCATAACAATATAATTTAAACTGGCAATCCTGGTTTCATGGAAAACAGGCCTCATCATATATATCTGATGTTATTCTTTGATGAGATTACAAGTTTGATTGATAAAGATAACTGCATAGATGCAACACAGAGTTCAGTGAGTCAGAGAACTCCGCAGAATACAACATGCTGGCTGTAAAAACATTGTGAAACATCTGTAGAAGAGAGGTTGTTTGTAGCAAGTTATGGTTGCATGCCAACCACAGTCAATGGTTGCAAAGCTTCAGTAATCTGACATGCAGGAATTAACACCAGAAAATAAGAGGTTAATTGTGGAGATCAATGTGCATTAGTTAGCAATTCTGGGCACTTAAGATCATTTTAATCCAGCCAAATGCAAATTTTCACTCCTATCAATGAAGAGTGTAGGCTGTACTTGCAGCAAGGAAGACTATACGGAAATCAGTGAGAAGGGAAAGAGTTAATCAGTTGAATACAAGGCCTTGTTCTAGGAAAATAAAAGAAAACAAAACACACAAACAAATATGACCTTTGATTACACTAAAAGAAGAGAATTGCAGGGTGGGTTTTTACCTCTGCATGCAGCACCAGCAAAACCATCATGGTTTAGCACTTAATTTTTAAGGGTGTTAAATTTTGGAGTAGAAAAGGCTAAAATACTTTAGCAAAATGTTTTACATATTATGTATGGAATTCAATCAGTTTAATTAACCAGCAAGACAATGGAAAGGTGACTTGATTGCAGTGGGTTTATACATACAAAAGAAGAAAATAGTGGGTATCAAAGGATCCTTTCATTTAAGGAGAACAGCATAACAAGAAGCAAGGTCTGAGATGTGAAGCCATACTATTTCAAGTAAACAATTAAGAGCACACTTTAATAAGGAAAGTAGAAAATTGTAGAAATTACTGAGGAAATGGCAGTTTACAAATGAAACTAGATGCTAGTTGCTTTTCTGGAAAAAAATTAACTAAGTATAAGTTTTCAGGATAAATGCAGGGGTAACTGGCCTTCATTAAATAAAATGTCAGAGTAAATGATCTAATGGTCCTTCCTGGTCATAACCGAAATGAATCTCTGAAGGAACAGACACTGCTTTTTCTTTAAAAAATTGCATGATGACTTTTGGTTTTCAGCCAGTTGAAAACATGCTTTAAATTTTCCAGAGTTTTGACTGTTCTTTCCATTCTGCCTTGAGTATTTCAAGCAGATCAGCATAAATATTGATAAAACATATTTCTCACCAAAAAGGAGATTGTTCAGTCAATAGTCTCCATTGCCATTCATATATTTTTGTATGTTTATGACTAGCTTTACAAAGAGCTGGACTCCTCTCTGCATTTCCTGGTGAGAACCAGAACACTTTGTCATTGAAATGTCCATAAAATCCTGTTTTGTGTTTTTTTCTTACCTGAATTTAATAATTTGTGAGTAATCAATGAAGTGAATGAACTTGACATACAAAGTCATCGTTTATTCCTATCTTTGAAGCCAAAAAGAGCTACATCAGTGCCATCTGCTAAAGCTTTTCGTTTCTGTAGCACATGATGGGATCACATGAATGTGGAGCAGTTTCTCACTGCAGCACCATATGTGGTGTCACATTTTCTGCATACTTTCATTGCTACATGATACATCAGCTTGAAAGAAAACTATGTGGATTTGTGCAAATTTTGGATCCCAAGCATATTAGAAAAAAAGATAAATGAAGAAATCTAATAGGATGGGACCTCGAGGACCAGTTTTTCCCAGCATTGCTTACGGCACATCTTAGTCCTTCCCGTCATTTTCCCATCATAATGGGAAGGCGCTGTGCAGCTGGACCACGCGGCACTGACTCACGTGGTCTGCACTGCTTGACACAGTTCACACCCACGTAGTGAAAACTGAAAGAAACAACATCCTTTTGTTTCACCAGCAAGATCAAGGCTGGTTTTTTTTTCTTTCTTAGTGATATAGCCAAATACCGGTTGATTTATCTCACTGGGGAATTCCACTTTGGGAAAACAAAGGATGAAGTGGTGTTTCCTAATGAAAAGCATACACTCTGCTGCAACCTACAGGCCACAGCCGGTATGAGTCTGCCAAGAAATGCCTTTTTTTTTTTTTTTTTCCCTTGTATTAAGAGATTTTTTTTCTCGGTTTTCCTCTCAGTGCTCTACTGATTGTAATGGAATTATTTCTGAATTGTTCACTATCAATGAAAGGAGAATTAGCTGCTCTCTGTTTCCAAACTCTTCCTTAACAAGTACCAACATGTTGTCCTCCGTCTACCTTCTTCCTACTCTGGGCATTTAGTTTCTTTATCTTTCTAGCAGTATATTCAGAATTTAAAAAGGAAACATTCTGCCCCACACATTTGCTTAAGGTATATTTAAACAAGCACAAGGCAGAGTCGCAGTCAGAGCTGCACACTTCATAGCAACCTTCCTCCAAATGAAACGAAGGTCTCAGGATTGGCAAATTACATAGAGGTATCAGTCTGGAGTAACCTTAGGCACAGTCACTAGATTTTCCCCCATCTACCAACTTTAAGAAGACAATTTGTCAAATAGCCTAGTTTGTATTTCAACTCCTTTACTACTGACATGCTTATAATGCTTGGAAACACTACCTCCTCCTTGAACAGGGTGCTCACAGCCCCTTAGTTTTTCTGATGACAGTCAAAACTCATTCCACATTTATGGTCAAACCATCAGTTGTAATTATGAGAAAGATCAACCTGGGACCCCATGGAGCAAGCTGTAGGTTTTGCCCAGCAGGCAAGGGTCTGACTCGCCATCTGTTCTTCCCTTTACATTATTTTCCTGTTGGGGGACAACTGCAACCATCAAATTACAAACTAAAAAAATAACGTGGCTGGTTACACTCCACAAATAATAAATAACCAAATCACCTAGAAGACAGTACACACAGGACATGGAAACTGTGCTTTTCTGGTCTTTCAACGCTCATTTGCCACTCACATATCCTTTGTGCTTTTGAATATCTCCCTTTGTACATGAACACTTCATGCGCTGTCAATGATTTGCTTGAATCATACACATTTCCAAATAACTACATGGTCCAGCACCTAACAGTAAGCTCTGAAACTAGAAGCAGTTTGTAAATCATTCACAGATCAAACGGAGAACAGAGCCTAGGAAAGTACTATTTGAACAGCTATAATATACTTAAAATATTGCAATAAAGCATTTCTAGTTGGAAATCAATAGGTCTGACAGACTAAGTATAACTCAGAGGTCACAAATATGAGTTTAACTAACTTCAGAAATATTACCTAGGCTGGATGAAGATGAAAATTGGCCTTTACTGAGTGAAGAAAGTGATTTCCTGCACTGTGATCATGTAGAGGTTTCACCTCTGTGCTGCTGTGCCACTCTCCTGATAAGAAACTCTTTAATCTCCCTGACCCAGGGAACACTGATTTTCCTGATTTTCCAAAGGAAGTCATAACATGCAACATGCCTTTATCTCAGACATGTCCAGAGCCCTGAACAAAGCAGCATGACAGGACGTGCAACAGAGCTGCAGCGAGGCATGAGTCAGCCTCCTCTGGCCATAAATCTAAGTCATTGCAAAACTCCCTTCCATTTGTTCCATCTGATCCTCTCCCCTGATTAATTTTGCAATGGTGTAATTTTAACAGCAGTTATGCTCTCTGAAGGAGGTGCAGGATCTCTCAGGGAGTCTTGGAACAGTGTTGCCAACTCACATGATTTTTATCTCGAGTCTTATGATTTTTCAGCTTTCTTCTGCTTTGGCTGCCAGAAGCGTGCAATGACATGAGAAACCCAGCTACCTTCTCTTTTAATTTTCATTAATAGCAATTTTCTAGTCTTTACGGCTGTACCCTAAAGACCCAGAAATCAAAACGCAAAAGAAAAAGAAGCCAATTTAGTAATTTTAACTGTGATGTTTAAGATTACTTGGTAATTCATGAAACCCTGGCTCAAGATATTTTTCTATTGAAGTTGGCAGCACTATTTGTTTTTCATTCTCACTAAACTGCCCCTTAATATTATTCCATCTAGGTTATTAAGGAAATGCGGAGTACAAACTCTCTGTAACTGGAGGCAGAACAGTAACCTGGGTCATTTTTTTGAGGTGCCTGTAAAGGGCTTGTTGGTACTGGATGAGGAATAGGGCCATCACTGGATGCTGGAAAGGAGAAGAGAAGGAGCTATGTCCTAACTGGAAAGACAAAGAAGAGAAAGAGAATATAAACTTGTTCTCCTTAAGGAAATGCCCCTCCATAGAGCTTCCTGGAGGAAGGATAGCCTCTTTGAGCTTTTTCCTACACGATGAGAAGAGATGGGCTGGCAAAAAGCAAAGGCACCTTCTGCAAAGCAGATTCCCATACATATGGCTGAGTCTGCTTTTCCTTCGGTTTTCACAGGACTGCAACTAGAACCAGAACCAAGGAAATACTGCTCTTGGGGCAAAGAGGAGTCTGTATTTAGCCTGCTTTGAACCCAGAGCAGCAGTTCCCAGTTATTAATTAACTGCATATTAATGCAGTTACCCAGCTTCCAAGCTGGGATTCTCCTTTGCTTTTCCAGGTGCCAGGGGCTGTGCACACAATAGCCAGTGTCACTGCTCTTCAAAAACATAAAGGCTTGCAAATAAACAGCAGGGTTTTAATTCTCTTCTCAGGCATTCAGAAAGGGTTTTGCTGAAGTCTACTGTGACCAAACCATGCTACTCATAGGCCAAAATCCCTATGTTGTTAATATAGCAGCCAAGCTCTTATAAAGGGCAGCTTTGCTATGGACAACCAGTTTTGACCCTGAAGAGACATATGATCATCAAAGCTTCTGTTTCTCAGGGGTTGGCAGGAGGCTGTGCACAAGATGCTTTTTCTCTCTAAGAAGAGCTGCTTTAACATCAGTTAGGCAATGGGAACCGTTGCTCATAAAGGAAGTGTTTCTGCCCAAAAGCACTGTGGCAAAATATTCTCTGGGTGTATGTTTCCTTGCTGAGCCGTAGCACGGTCATGAGCTGGTGGCCACAACATGAGTCCTGTCATGCTTGTGTTACCTACTGAAAGCATTTAATTAACTGATAATTTAAAACCTTCAGAACAAACAAAACACAACACAACTGTTTAGCTCTGATGACTTTGGAGAAAACCTCAAAACCACAACCAGGGCATCCCTTGTAGGCAATAAAAGCAAGTGGTTTTGCCAGGTTTTGTGTTTTGCTTTCAGATACTGTGGTTATAAAGTCAACCTCATACTTTTAGAGGACCTGACTTGATTTTTGCACAGCAGGAGGCATTAACAACTTATCTGGGCAGTATATTTGAGAGAAAAACCATTTAGTAGATATTAACTATCTCTGGATAGTAATGGGCCAGTGAAGAAAAATGTGTTTTGCTAAAGTGTTCATTACCATTGCAAGTTTCACTTGCTTTAAAACAACTTGCATATTAAACAGCAATAATGTAAGCCTCATTAGGGGCTGCTCATATGTCTGGCAGTGAAAAGATATATAGTTCTGTGACTTGCAAGGGTAAGCTTTTCCCAACCTTTTCTACTGGCAATCTCACCCTGCCAAGCTCCTCACCCAGGTGAAGGCTCCCACTTCAGCTACTGACCTGCAGTCATTCCTCTTCTCCTTTATGAATAGCTACTCACATATCTTTCCATCTGTCAAGTGGTATATTACTCTGTAAGTGCAAAATGGATTACTGGTATGTCCATTACTAGATTGGAGTCACAGTGAAACAAAGTGATATTCAAAGAGGATAAGTAAATGTATCAAAATGCAGCACTCAGGAAGGATTCAGCCCACTACAAATGGAGAATTATGCTCAGCTGTACTGAGCTTTGCCCCACAGAGGAAAAAGAGACCTGGAGAGCTAAGTCCTATAGCTTGATATTATATACAATATTATTGGAAGAAGGTTTTTGGCAAATGGAACATGTAAGTATGCAGATTTGCATTTGTAAATTTGCAAATGTAAACTTGCACACAGAGATAGAGATTTCTAAGTGTACTGAATATTCTGGGAATGTGCAATGCACCTCTGAGTGAAAAAAAAAAAATCAGCAAGATTTGGTGTATTAATAGCCAGACGCAACTAATAATGAAAGAATTTCACCCAAAACTGTAAGATATGTTGTATTTTTCATGACTCTAAGCAATAAGTAATGGTATTTCCTGCAATCTGTAATAAAAAAAAACCTTTAATTTCTGCCAAGTATGAAGTTTTTATGAAGTTAAAGGAATAAAAATTCTGACCTTCAAACACAGTCATACCAATAGTAATAAACTACAAAATACAGACAAACCGGTTTATCATTATCCATCAGTTAGATGAAATTAGTTAATCATGCAGTTTATTTTCCAAACATCTATACGGTGCTATTATTTGTTTGTTTGTAGTTCTGGCAGACAAGCCTCAAAAGGATGAAAAGCACCATTAAGGATTTATTTACATTTTCTTTAAATACCAGCAGCATTATATTACCAACGACGTTTTTAACCACCTACCCAATTCTGTGCTTATAATGCTGCCTATAAATTCTGAGCACTGATTTATTTTTTGACAAAGCATTGCTGGTTTTATGTGCAAACCTACAGAGCCTGATCTAACCCTCATTAGAGTGTAGAATCAACGGCTTTTACAGACATCTGGGCACTCAACCAGGTCCCATTGGTATCTTTTTAAATCAGTAGCAATCACACAAGAGCAACAGAGAACTTGCAGCTTCATTTCAAAATTTCAGGTCATGCTAAATCTACTGTTTTAAAGCCAGACCTTGAGAGGCAGAGGTGAATGCACCCTTTTACAAGGAGCAGACCTTCTTCTTTGAGTGGTTTTTAGCAGTAGCTCTAAAATCAGTGTACAGAAGAAGCATCTTTACCCCTAAAGCTCAGATGAAGCATGAAGTTACTGGCACACCTGAGCAGACCCATCAGTTTAACACTGCTAAATGTGGGCATTCCACTTCCTTTGCAAGGGCTGCTCCTTCCCCTTCCTTCCCTCACCACTTGCTCCTGCCAGCAAAGCTCCAGCCCCTACTTTGTACAGCCTGTCCCTTGTGAGACACTGAGTCAGCTCAGACCACTAATCTGGCAGAAAACTATCCACTTTTTCCACCTAGCACTTCCCTTAAACCCACACTTACGCAGTTGCAAGGCCAATTTACCGGAGAACTGCCATGATATTATCACAACATTATGTAAAATTAGCAGAACCAAAAGCCTTGACCCTGACTTTACCCCCACTCACAAAAACCAAGAGGAACTACACTAGCACATAAAAGAGCCGTAAGTGAGGGGAAACTCAAGGTTTCAAAATCCCTGAGTATCCCAAACTGCTCCTGCCTTTGTGGGCTGCACACTGGCTGCCCACTCATCACCTTGGATGCTGCCTCTGAAAGGAAGGGGGAAAAAAATCAAAGGCTGAGAACAAAGAAGGTCATTCGGCAGTTGTTTCAATCCTATCTTTATTTTAACCATAGTCCCCAAGAGCTGGAAAGATTTATTAGGTCATCCTAAGTCAACTGCCTGCCAAAGCAGGAATGCACTGTGTAGTATTTTCTTTAGAGCTTTTATCTGTTTATATTTAAATGATTCAAGTAATGGGGATTCCACGATCAGCCAAACTTTGCTGTTTGGAAAAACACACAGACAGCTTACATTTCCTTCCGCTTATTTTCATGCCATTCCTACTCACTGTGCCTCTTCCTACCAGCACAACTTTCCCCGTGCTTCTAAGGCAGCTTCCCCATCCCTGCCATGGGGTCATGTTCCACTGGGACAGGGTGGAGTAAAAGGAAAGGTTTACTCATGTGAAATGCAGCTTTAAGCACAAATTTATATTCAAGCCCTTGGGAATATTTACACCTTGGTCACTGACATAAAGCACAGCAATCTTAGGAATGTCTTGAGAGGTTTTAAAGTGCAAGCTGGTGATCCTGACAAACTAGACCCTGCCCTGTTGGGTGACTCTAATGTCACTATGACAGCTGAATTACTCCCCTTCTTTCAGCTTTTATTTAAGCCATTCAGGCTTCTTTTAAGCATCCCTCCATTTACAGCCCTCCCGCCCTAACTGACATCCTTCCAATCTGTCCAAAGGAGCCTTTGTTTCCCCAACCCACTCCAGAGAAACAAGGCCCTTTGCAAATTGCAGGCCATCCTTTCAATTATACTTCTATAGTAATGCTGGCACATTAGTTCCACTTATCCTTGGTTAATAGTTCAGCTTATATTCAAACAGCCATTAACATAAAATCAACACAGCAATTTTGTATGAGTTCTCATATCATTAATCCATTTAAAGTGGATACACAGTTCACACTCCAAATTCGCTTAATTATTGACTTCATAACATTTAAAGAGGGCATGGTCTTTGGATCCATTGGAATGCTTTGTTTTGTTATTATTTTTTCCCTTCTCCCTACTTCTGTAGGTTTTCTGAAGAAGTTAATTTCACAAGGTTTGGGTAATGCTTGGAGATATGTCACCTCTGTGGGAAACCCCCACCTAATTACAGGTTCAGCCTCATGAGGAATAGCCTTAAAGAGCCTATTGGTTGGTTGGTTAGCTCAGTTGAAGGAAAGAGGAGAAATGTCCATGATGGGCTGCATAAAAAGAACCCCATTTTTCCAAGCCTCCCTGCAGAAGGCAGCCCTGAGCATCCCAACCTGAAGCATTCCACTGCAGACTCCTTTTGGCCTCCTCCACTGCCATGAGATTCAGGAAGCCCTCACGTTGTCCTGCTCTGGTGGTAGCCACAAGCCCTGCTGAGAAAGGGGAGATAATTACATCTTCCTCTGTATCCAATATCATTAGTTCTCTAGCTCTGGCACAGACAGTGGATATATCATGATAATTTCTAAGTACTACACACAAAATTAATAGGTTCATCAAAATTGTCTATGGAGAAGCTTGTTTGCCTCCATAATTTAATTCAATACTTCATTTTTCTCACTCCTTTTCCATCCCTCTCTTTTCTCTCCTTGTCGTCATCCATGGCAAATGATGTTCGCGCTTCAGCTGCTGTTACAGGGCAAAAGCAATCAGCAAGCAGCGGGTCTTGCATTTCACTTTGAAAAATGGCAGGTTAGGACTTGTCTGAATCCTCGCATAATTTGTGCCGCTGTTGGAGGCCTTTCCCAGAGGCTCGTCTTCCTCCAGTGGTTCCAGTGGGGTTTGGGAGCATGAGTGAAGATCTGGGAAGGATCAGAAAGACATTCAGGTGCCATGGAGAAATGTGTGCATGGCTGAGTGGTCTGGGCACTTCCCTGAGGGCCCCAGTCACAGCAGAGAAGGGTGCCCAGCACCACACAGTGCCCCAGGCTGGATTGTACCTTGCTGTCATACAAGGCAAGGCTATCAGACTCAAGCAATAAGTAGGCCCATGTTGGACATGCTGTTTGCCGAAGTCCTTGAAAAGTACTTTGTGCCACCCCTGTGATTATCGTGGTTCATTTCATTACCTTAAAGCCATTTCTGCTTGCTCTGACTACATAGCAAGCTGCATCTATCAGTACAGACATCCTGAACACCTTTTCTCCTCTCCAAGACACCAGGGCATGCTCAGCGTCTCTGCTGCCTAGGTCCATTCATAGCATAATATTGGCAGGAAAACGTCACTATAATCGACACAAGTAGATACTAATTACATTAGGCTTTCTGCTGGAGAAGGTTCATTTTAGCCTATGAGGTTACCCTGTTTTTCCCTGTCTTTCAGAGAGAAGTGAATGGTTGGAAGATCATATCAATGGAGAGAAGCCAAAGTTTATTAATGCAGTCTTACCACAGACATCAGCAAAAGCACAATCATATATGCACAGCGCTGCAGGTTATAAGCAAAGGTTTTAATCTGGATACTGTAGTAAAGAAAAGAGCAGAACATCCCAGGACAGGTAACTGTAATGTGTGGTTTATTCTTCTCAACTGGGCCTTAGGATGTTTCCCACATCTTCACCACACTTAACTCTGTTACCTCTTAATTCAGGCACATGGGAATTCCCAGGTAGTGTTTGCTTCAGGCTGCTTTTAAAAGAATGGGTAAGTATTTGATAAAACTAGGTGCAACTTTGTGCCTGTTTTATTGCTTGCTTGGTTATTGCTCTGAGAATAAATGTTGTTTCCTATTTGCGATTTGAGTGTTATCCGTGCCTCTTACTGGTCCTTTTCTGTTTGTTGTAGGCATCTACTTATAAGGTAATCCTGCTTTTACTATGAAACACAATAAAAACACTGAAAGGAGTTGTAAAACTGCCCTAGAACATTGTGACATTTCACAAATACTGGCAAACATCTCCATGTTCTTCCTAAATTTGCCACAGATTTTCTAAATATTGTGTTCAGAAAACACAGTCCTCATGAAGAACAGCTTCTCTAAACAAGATCCAGAGGCTGGTTTCAGGCATCATGCAGATGAGCGCTCTCACTGCAGGCACTTAGGTGATCCCTGGGACCACGGTCCCTCTAGCAATTGCTGGGGAGATGAGGCAGTTGAGAACTTGTCTGTCCCTACCTGAGCATGCAGCAGTGATTGTGGCTCTTGGCAATTTGAAGAGTATCACAGGACAGGAGAAAGTCTACTGGAAAAAAAACAGACTGCTCCTAAACAGCCAGATTCACATCAGGAGATTCATTATATCATCCAGGTAGTGCACGGTGCTCAGCACTCAGGAGAGTGTGACTACAGTAAGAACTGGACCTTGTGGTGGCATTACAGCACAGCCCAGCAGCTAAGCTTACTGCTTTATGGCACAGCCACCACATCGGAGGCTCGAGAGCACAAGAGGTTTTGTAACTGGAACAGCTATATTTCTATATAGAATTTTTAAGAGGAAAAAAACGTTAAAACCAAACTCAAGCTGCTGAGGTACAGCACATAAACAAGCCAAGGTACAGAGCACACCCACAGCCTGCCCAAGCAATCTGCATCAGACAAATCCCCATGCAGTGACTCAGACACGCATCCCCCGAGCCACGGGTTGGTGCATGCACTGCTGCCACAGGCAAGCTTTGCAGGCAGGCAGCCCTGCCAGCACTAATGGTCTCACTGTGCTGCTGCTCATCCTCAAACACCCAAACGAGGACGTGTCCAGACAAACAAGGCTACTGAGCTGTAGCCTCGAGCCAGAACGGACTCAGCAGCAGTAGTGGAAAAATACCTCTTTCCCATGTGTATCCATTCACTCCTATGGGTAGCTGCTCTTACCTCCCCATTCCTCTCCATACTACACATGAGTTAATATAAACCAGCTTGGAGGGCTGCCCTGCTTTGGGGATTCACGTCATGTTGGGCCCCTCGCCATCCTCATAAATATGTACTAAAATTATGGTCTGTGTTCCCAGAATAGATCATGTTGTAATCAAATCTGGAATAATGTGGTTAAATATTTTCTCCATCTTACTGGGTCCAGCTATTTGCTGTGAAGAAACACCACTGGAGGAAACAATTTAAGGTTAAATGATCCCAAATTTACACACTCTTTTTGATGAAGATACTTAAGAGAAATAAAGGAATTGAGAGAATGATGGGCTCTTTTGCAGTAACTGTCAGTGATACTTGGGGGGATATAATGGATGCCCCAGATGTAGCCAACTCCTGTACACATCTTCCCCCTTCCAAGGTGCTGCCTGAAAGGAACCCTGAGACACTCAGAAATACAATTTCAGAGACAAAGGTAATTTCCAGCAAGCCAGCAGTCTACATTCTCATTGACTTCAGCAGGATAAAGTTTCAGAGAGTAGTTGTAGGCCTGGAGACCATAAGAAGGTCCAGTAATGCCCAGCTGTAAATCAGAACAAACTCTGAGAACTCTCCGGGAGATGGAAGTTCCACAGATCCACTCATACACACCCCACGACATTGGCACATAACAGGTATTACGAAAAGGACATTACAGTACAGTCTGCTTTTCCTCTCTTGCAGAAACAGAAACATTTAATTCCCATGTTTGTATGCAAACATAATCCTGATTATTCTATATGCTTCTTGAATGGTAGAAGGACACATCTATGCTTACATATTTTTATTAATAGAAATGAAAGAGGAAAATGAGAAAACATGTTCATACCAATCAGCAAGACAGGCTTTTCTGCTGTATGTTTTAGATGGGCCTTTCTTAATGCCTTGTATTTTCCCTTTCCCCACTTTTTGCAGTGAAGATGCCCAGCCAACTATTGAGTCTTTTTTCCTCTCCATGCTGAAACATGCCTACACCCAGAAAAAAAAAACAAAACACCAAAACCCCTGTGTCCAGCCTTGTTTCACATAACTGAGAATTCACTCTACTTTTTATAGAATGCTATCTCTGGTAATTCAGCTTGACCCAAAATCCTTAGATCCTCTCATGATTTTCATTTAGAGCTCTATGATCTTACATAGGCCTGATCAATTCCACATAGATAAATGAGGTGCAGAAAGACTGAACCATTTGAATATAACATAAGAAAGTCTGTGTTAAGGAAAGGACTTAAAGCCATATCCACCAAAGCCTTGCTGCTGCCCAGACCACTGGAGCTTTATCTATAAGGGCATTTTACTGGAGCCCTGGGTCACAACTGGACATTTTGTTCCATGGAGTATATGTTCAGATGCAGTTCTCCTCCACATCAGAAAACACCAATGTCCTGAGTTCAGCAGTAGCAGTCAATTTTCCCCCCTCTTAGTAGCTGGTGCAGCGCTGTGGTTTTGACTTTCAGCCTGGGAACAAGGCTGATAACACCGATGGTTTTAGTTTGCTGCTGAGTAATGTTTACTCTGACCAAGGACTTTCTGAGTCTCATGCTGTGCCATGGAGGAGGGGAGGCTGGAAGGAAGCAGAGACAGGGCACCTGACCCAAACTGACCAAAGAGGTATTCCATACCACAGCACGTCATGCCCGGGGAGGTAACTGGGAGTTACCTGGAAGGGCACACTCTTCTCAGTCAGGCTCATTTCAGCAGGTGGTATCCTATTTCTCTTCCCTTGTTATTTCTCTTATCATTATTATTACTGGTGCTAGCAGTAGTGATTTGTGTTATACCTTAGTTACTGGACTGTTCTTATCTCAACCCATGGGAGTTACATTCTTTTGATTCTCCTCCCCATCCGTCCAGGAACGGGGAAATGGGGAGAAGGAAAGAAAGAGGGGAGTAGAAACTGTGTGGCTGTCTGGGTTTAAACCACAACAACCAACATTCAAAAATTCCTTGCAATAGAAATGCTGAAGAAAATAGTTGTTTTTGATGTAAAGACATTTGGTTTCTGCACGAATTAGTTTCATTTTTTGACAGTTGTAAAATATAATTTGAAATTCCCCAAAGGGGAAGTGAAGTTTTCTGTTTTACTACTGCAGATACAGACCATCCCAATACTGTGTAATTTTCTGGTCTGTCTTTTTCTCTTTTCCCTCAACAACAACAATAATAAAAGACTAAACAGCACAATTTTCCAATTTTGATTCTTGTGGAATTCAGTCCTTGACTCAATGAATATCCTGTAAGCAGTTCTGTCTTGTTGTCAGGGATATGATCAACTGAACATCTATAGCTGAACAAGCAGATTTTGCTCTTTTTTTGTTTGCAGATGTGCATGTACTGCCCAAGCACAGGGTTGCTGTAGTACCACTGCCTCTGCCCCACTTTATTTTCCTCCTTCCTTTCCTTTCTCAATGCAACTTTTCTGCAGCAGACTGGGGTGTAAGGCTTGACTTGGTCAAGCTGTAGCTCGCAGCAGGATCCTAGAAGTGCTAGGATTCTCATTGTGAGCAAGGATACCAAAAAGTATTTGCTATA